TAGTCTTTTTCATCAATCGGAAAAGAAAACATTTTTTGTTATTTCAATTTCTAAAGTCTATTTTTGCGAAAATACCTTAAACAAACAACGAAATCAATCTTCCGTGTGTGTGTGTGTGTATGTTTGTCGATTTCATTAGTTAGCTATTCATTTGCAGGCACCGAGCAATTCAAACCAGTTGATTCGAAAATGTAACCGAATCGAAAAACCGATTTGGAAAAATTAGGATTTGGTAAACAAAAACAAACTTAAACAAACACAGCTTTGCTCCGTATTTATTATACACATACGTTACGTTCTCTTTGATTTTTTTTTCTCTCTTTTCTGATTTTACATTCATCTAGAATCGACTTTTTGGTCATAAATCCGATTTACTTCTTTCTGAAACTTTGAAGAACAAACTAGCAAATAATAATTCAGCACAAAAAAGAAGCAACATATTTCTAATGAGATAATATTAACAAAGGATTTGCACCAAAAAAAAAAATAATGCGAAAGAGAAAGAGACGAACATATTCTCCACTCATTTTCACCCATTCATTCATTCTGGCCGAGCGAAAAAAAAACAACATTCAATATTTGCGTATGTTTGTATACTGTAATTAAAAATAATGAAAGGAAAATATGAACAATATTTAGAAAACTATTTCACTAATTTTGTAAAACATATAAGTCGATACTGTATTACTGGATATACGGCTACTTACTTTTGGCATTGATACTCTCTTTCTCACACACACGCACACATATGGACACATACTCACACCGCTTGGCCCATTGTTTTGTGTGTGTGGCATGTGAACCGATTTGTTTGAATGGGAAGATTTATCAAAGATATGAAAAATGATCCCCATACAGTATTTGCATTAGTTGCAAAGACGAAGAAAAAATAGAAAGAGTTGGTCATTTGTTCATACATTGTTTTTTTAACTAATTTTAATTTTCGTCTTTTCGATTTCCAAATAATTGAAAAACAACTAAATTCCATTTACTTTTATTCCATGGAAATTGGCATTTCTCCATTTAAACGCATTTATTTCTTATCTGCTTGGTTTGTTTTTTCTCTCTCTCTCTCTCTCTCTCTCTCTCTTCCTTTCATTCTCAAGATTTGCATGTTTTTCTCCAAACAATAGGATGTATGCCTTTCGTTTGTGTATGAAAGATATGTGCCAGTTTCAAAGAACCACAAGGATATGTATGTTGATTTTCAATGACATTGTTGAATGTCTTCATACCATCATTTATTCCAATTGTACGAGCAATAACAAAAAAACCATTACCATGATTTTCGTATAGAATACTTGTGTGCTGTGCGATGAAGGAAGTTGAATCATAAACCGATGCGATTGGAGAATCAATGATTCGGACACAATGTACAAAATAATGATGTGTCCCTTTTCTGGTTTTTATATCTCGAAAAATATATAAAAAAAATTAAATATAAAATCCCCGATTACCAATGTTTTTCCACACAATCAATGGCTGTTAAATATGTGTTGATACCATATAATTCATTTCCTCAATAAAATGCGTTCAATCTTCAATTGAATTAGGCACAAGCGAATTACCGAACAAAAGACAACATTCTCTCCTTTTAACCGAATTCTCTTGACGATCGAACCGGAGAAATGAACACAGAGAGAAAAGCAGACCAAACGATCAAGCGATTTATTGAAATCGTGTTGAGCCAACTCTCTTCCACAGTGCAGCACAGCGGTACGTTTGACTATTATTTCGACAAGACACTGATTATTGTCTATGAATTACACAATATCGGCCGTATATTTATGGCTTTTTATCTCTTTTTGGTCCGTTGTCATTTGCCATTGTTGCTATTGGATGATGTCTCAATCAACAATATATCTATATAACATTTAAAGAATCAAGAGAAATGAAAAACGAAATAGAGCCGAACCGACAAAAAGAAAATCGCTTTGCTTCTTTTTATTGTATTTTAGTTTTTTTTTTTCTTCTAAAATAAGACAGAAGTCTTTTTGACTGTAGGAAATCAAGGAAAAAATCAATTTCATCGTATTGTTCAACTGTCCGCAAAATCGAGCCGATTGGAATAACATCTCACTTCAAAGATGTCGACAACGAGCAACATAAACAAAAACATTTCCAAATACAACATCGTACCCATTTCGAAAAAATGGTAACATTTCAAAAAATATGTTCGTGTATGGAACTTCAAACGCACCGAACACATATTTTGTATATGTATTAAAATCGCTTTTCAAAATTGACTTTTTGTAGTATTTGAATGTGTTGCATCTCAATCAATCAACTGTACATTTTGTCGGTCTTGTTCATTTTTTTATGATTCCTATCATAATCATTTCTAAACACTTTATGCTCGATAAAATAACGCAAAATTGATTTGTTGGAAACCATTCGAAAATGAAATAATTAAACGAAATGTTTACATGCAACATGGCCAAATGATTGTCAGGAATCGATCATAGTTTGGTTTTTTTTATGGTGGTGGCAAGTCACATTGTCTAGAAATAGAGAGAAATAGCCATTTGTTTTAGTTGTGAGCGAAAACAATATGGGATTTAACGATGCTTGTTTCGACCAGTAAGTGCTAATTCTCTGATAAAAATGTCAAGTCGTCAGTTAATTCAAAACATTCAACTCTCTCGGTCGACCGAAAAAAATATGAATGAATGAATCAAAACTTGTTCATTGTTAAACAAGGTTCATCTCTCTCTCTCTCTTGATTTCGTCTTATTCCAATTAAATAGAGAAAAAAGCGCACATACTCGCGTCTGTTGATTTCATGAATGGCAAAATGGTTGCATGTTTCTTTTCAGGCACTTACAACATTGGTTTCTACTTCATATGTTATACATGCAACTGAAAAAGTCTGTTTTCTTAAGCCGATAGAATTCATTAAACGTCTATTATTCGGGACAGCCTCAGAAGATCCTAATTTTGTGTATGTTTGCATAAACAATAGATTTTATTTATTCTTTCGATTGGTTCACATATTGCGATGTGTATGCGTAAATAATATTCGAAATGGGAAAAGGTTATGCGGCGAAAAAGGAAGTTTCGAGTTACATCACATTTGATATTTTTCTCTTTCATTCGTTCATTCATTCGTGCTGTGTGTATCTTGAGAGTTAATCACAATTCAAATCCAAATTGGTTAACAATCGCAAAACGAAAACGTCTTCATATATCATCCGAAGACGGCCTCTTTGCCTTGATGTTTCGCTCTTGTCTCTATCTCACACGATAATTGAATTAAATTTATAATCATTTTGAATAATTTCGTTCTCAGCATTTTGGTTATTTCGGGAAAATTTCATAAGATTAGCATGTTGAAACTTAAAGAAGTGTTAAAGCACACTCGCTCATTCAACACAATAAGTATGAAGTGCCGTGAAGGGAAAAAAAAAGACTACAGTTGAAATAATAAGTATTATTTTCTCGAAATTATTGGTTTGTTTGGACGCAATTCTGTGGCACACACAGAGGCGTCCAGCATGAAATGGTGAAAAAATATGTGTACATTTCGGCCGTTTTACTTCTTCACCCGCATCATAATTGAAATGATTTCTTACAACACACAATTTTCTTTCTCTCGACATTAATTATTAGGGATTATGCAGCATTTAATTAAATAGTAGTTCGAACAGTGTATGTGTATCTGATACAAAGCATAGCTGACCAGCCCACCAGTCATCTTAGCATTGAAACGAACACTAGAAATATAAAACATTCAATAATCAAATAATTAAATGTTAGACGCTCGTCGCAACGTTGATTTTTGTGTGTGTGAAATACAAAGATGACGGAGAGAAGGAATGACGAAAAATACAACACAACATTTACTAAACACAAAACAAATTGAATTAAGGGCATTGAATTTATTCTTCGGGGTTTTTTTATGATTATTAGTCCATGTAAATGCCGGTTGCGAAAAGAAACACGACATGCATTTTTTTATATATTATTATTCTCTTGTCGAAATCTATGCGCGTATAATGATTTTCGAATATGTACGCCGAAAGAGAAAGAGCGAGAGAGAGAAACACCGAATCGGTTTGTTGCGTACGTATAATGGTTGCTCCACCCGTTCCATCGCAGCACCAGCCATATATATTTAATTTTCACAACAAAGCACAATTTCATGATGAACAGATCACTGGAATAAATTGAATAGAAACGGTGTAAATACCGACCAAAATAGAGTACAAACCAAACGGCAAACAAAAGAGTTTTTTTTTTCTCCTTTTTGCTTCAGTTGCGCTTTGTTACACACGCAGACACACACACACATACATACGATTTTGATCGCAGAAAAACGAACTACAATCGAAATCAAATTTCAAAAGAAAGTGTCGGATATACCAAAGAAAATCGGCGGTAAAGGCGCAATCAATGAAATTTATGAGCGAAAAATGCTTTGATTCATTCATCAATTTTTATTAAAGAAAATGCACGTATCGAAATATGGTTCAGAATTGATTTGAAGTTAAAAAGTGCGGCTTGGAAAAAGGATTGAAAATTGCATGTGTCGCCTACAACATTAGCTATTTACCTCTGATTATCGTTATTAGTAGGTAAGTGTTCAATTATGTAAAATGTGGATGACAAAAAGTAAGAATGTGACAGACTCCTATCGCCGAATGCATTGCCGAATGGAAAGTGTCTAAATGGGGACACAATGCTTGCTTTTTATTATTAGTTTTCAAAATGAGGTGTCAAAACTTGTAATTTTCGGTGAGCATAAATGATGATGCCATGAGAGCGGTACGCTTTGAAAAGATCACATAAAAATGCCGACTCGTTAACAGTATAAAAAAAAACCCTTTTCAGTGTTTGTCAAAGAAATTACCTATAATCATTTGATTTTCAAGCATTACCCAAGATGATGTGATAGTTTTTCCATTTTTTTTCTTCAAACAAGCATAGTTCTGCTAAAAAAGTACTTGGAAAGGTGGAGGGATGGAAAGAATAATGATGTAAAAAAAAAGAAGAAAAATGAATTGATTTCTGATTTTTTGTTTATTTTGATTAAGTGTTGTCCACAAAATCAGATCTAGATATCGCTTAATCACATAAATATCACATTATTAACTATTATAATTATACTATTTTAATTTACAAATACTTTAAACAATCAATTCAAATTACAATTTAAAACATGAGAGACAATTGGTTTGTTTCTGTCCAGAATTGCATTTTCGTTGAACAAACGAAACTGGACGCGCACCAAGCTAAAGTTTTTTTTTCTTTTAAAATCAGTTTTAATTTGCCTAAAAATTTTCATTTAACTAGTATCCGTTCAGCTATTGCCTTGAGTAGCCGTTGCGTTTGAATGGATCGTTGTTATTGTGATTTGGTTGATGTTGCGGTGATGATGAAAGGATATCATTTGGTTCGATGGGCGGGCTTGGATGCTGAAGATGTGCTTGTTGCTGTTGATGTTGCTGAAGTAATTGTTGTTGATAGTGAAGTCTTTGATAAATTTCGGCAGGTGTTTGATGTGGAGCATTGCTTCCGTTCATTGATGGGGGTAGCGCAAGACCGGGATGGCCCATTAAACGATCCATTGCAAAATTTGGTGGGATTCCAAGAGGCAGTGATGGAAGATTGGCACGTGGTTGCATCGCAGCTGCAGCAGCCGCAGCAGCAATAGCTGCTGAATTTGATGCACCATATCCGTTATATCCATATCGATTGTACATTGCTTGGAGGATGGCAGCCGGTGTTGAAGCAAGAGCAGCAGCGGCGGGTTGTTGATAAAAGTAATTGCCAAAGTTTGGATAGCCGATTGGTGGTAAAAATGATGCACGATTGAAAGCGGCCATTCGTGATCGTGATTGAACCTTTGAGCGACGACGCAATTTACTGCCAACGATAACGTCATCGGCTGACGGGTCCAACATCCAGTAATTGCCTTTGCCTGGATCATCGTAATGTCGTGGCACTTTCACGAAAATTTTATTCAAACTCAAATTGTGTCTAATCGAATTTTGCCATCCCTGCTTGTTGTTCCGATAGAATGGATACTTCTTCATTATATAATCATAGATTCCGTTAAGTGTTAACCGCTTTTCTTTACTGTCGCGAATTGCACTCATGATCAATGCATTATAACTGAATGATGGCTTCTCGTGTTTGGTAGTTCCTTCTTTTTTCTCAGATTTTTCATCGTCGCCTTTTTCATCACCGGATTTTGAGGCATTGTCTGTCATTGATGGAGCATCTGCAAATTTTAAAAAGAAAAGAAAACAGATTTAGTTTAAAATTCCTTAGACTGTTTTTTTTTATTTGTTTGTTTGGATTCAACTTTATTTTAGTGAACATATTTTCATGTTGAATGAAAACGAATCGCTCTTTTTCTCTCGACCTTTGTTTTTCAGTCGCGCAAACTTTGTTTGAACTCTTCACATTTCATTTACACAATGAATTGTATTTATACAAAGATATATAAACAGATTTTACGCTGTACAATAAACATATCAAAGAAATTCTATTCAATCATTTGGTAACACGTAAAGCAGAGTGAATGCCTTGAGAGAATCGAAGCGAAAAATTGTAGAGTGAAATGAACGGGAGGAGTCGCGACGGAAGATGATTCACCATCGATTGATTTATAATTAGACCTCCAAAGTGGATAATAATGACACTTTTACCACAGCTCAATGGGAAATTAAAAGAAAATTGATGCAGCTATTACACTTTTTTCTTTCGATAAATTGCTTCATCACTGAAAAACTGGGTTAGAAAAGTCAATTAAAATTGCCGTTGAAACTTTGTAGAAAACGTTGAAAATTATCGAAGGATTTGAAGAAACGATAGATAATTATATTTGATTTTCTTTGAATTTTTCACAAGTTTTTTTTTTTCAATGGAACTGTATTTTATTTTTAATCTCACAATTCACTTTTCATTTTCACATTTTTTCTACATTTTTTCTATAAATTGCACAAAACAGATTTTTCGTTATTGTTATCGATGCTTACCTTCCATATCTGATTCATAATCCACATTAACATCACAATCGGTGGATACATTGTCATCGGATTCAGCTGATGGTGCTGGTGATCCTTCTGCTGGTGTTGCTCGTTCTTCAATTTTCGATAAAATTGCATTTATTGAAAAATTTGATTTAGACGGCACTCGTGCCATGGTCGATAATAATGTCGGTTCGTCTTGCTCACGATCTCTTTCACATTTATTCATTTTCATTTGTATTTATTTTCAACAGATTCACTTGAGAATATTAGTTTTCGTGAAACTTTGTAAAAAATACGTTTTTTTTTCTTCTTTCAAACAGTTCACACAATATATAAAAGTGGAATTCTTTCACTCAGAACGATCAATTTTGTTTCACAGAAGTCACTCTGAAACTGGTTTTTGACTATTCTACGTCTTTACTCGAGAGCCGTCGAACTCAAACTAAATTTTATTTGTAACTTCTTGTAGCTAGTCACATGCGATTCGTCCAACCCGTGAACTTGTGCAAAGCAAACAAGAAAGAAAATGCATTAAATGTGTATGCGTGCACGTTTAACCAATGAAAACGAACGACACGATATCTGTGCACAGTAGAACGCCTCTTGTACGCTCGCACACATGTTCGTTTGTGTATGTTTTGGTGTATATTTGGATTTGGTAGCGTGCGCAATGTAATAGTTTGTATACAAAAGTTCCTGAAAATATGTACACAGTACGTGACTCCACCCGTCTATATCATCCGCTGTTTATTTATATTTTATGGTAAATATTGTAAATTATGAATACTATTGTTGGGAAAATAATATCGTTTAGTTTACCAAATTAGGAGGTAGAAACACGAAAATATGTTTATACAAAAATTTCAAACAAATGTTTAATACCGCATACGCAACGCTAACGCTCATATATTTATATATATATAGAGTGTATATACATGAACGACAGCAGTTGTTTCGTCGCGTTTTTTTTAATACGATTAGTGTAGTTGTTATTTACAACAAATCAATACATATGCTCGTGTTTTCAGCGTATCATGAGCCGATTTGAGTATACGAACGTTTTGATTTTGGTAGTTTGGCTGTTGGTTAGACATACTTCTGATGAAAATATTTGGTGCTCTTCGTTACGAGAAAATGTTGTGTTGGGCTTTGTTTGATTTGGTGCGCTTCGCATCGCCAACAACAACGATGACGGTCGATTGTTTCGCCAACCGTTTTCAACGATGTTAGTGAAGCAGATTGTGCATCGGACGTGTGTATGAGGTAGTGTGTGAATATATTGAGCAACTACTGTGCATATTGATATTTGTTATTGTTTTGGCTTTATGTCAGAGAGCATGGATACGCGGTCTTTTCTCTCTTTGGTACCATGCGATCGCATTTTTATTTCCATTGAACCCTTATTGTGGGTTGGGCTTATCGCATTCATTTTTTGTTGTTGTTTTTTTTCACTTCTTTTGCACCAGCAAGAATTGTGTGGATTTTATTTATTCATCTTCATGCTATTTATTCATTCTTTGTGTACAAACTGAAAACTATAACCGTTTCATGTAACACAAAATATTGTGCAACATAATCAACGTTTTTTTTTTTCACTTTTAGCTCGCTTCTCTTTTTTTCACTCCGTTCGCTACGTGATTATTGTTGATTAATAAATGCGATCTAATTCGCTTGGTGTGTATTGGGTCGACGCTTTTATGTATATTAATTTTAATTACTATTTATGTATCATCATTAGTGAACATTTTCATTTTCAGTTGATTTACAAATGTGTTGAAATTTTGCTTAAAAACATATTGTTTTTTTTTGTCCATACTGGCACAGTTTGCGGCGCTTTTGAAATGCGAAGCAGGATATTGTTCACTTTCTTTTGTAAAAAAAAAAAACGGAAGAAACGATCAATTTTTTCCTCTTTTTAGTGGAGAATTTCAAACATTTTCCATATTTTTGACGATTGTTGTACACTTGATATCGGTCTTCACTTGATTTTCAATTTATAGTTGATTTTTTTTTTCAGTTCAATATTTTTTTTCGGTCAAATTACAGGGCGTTGAGATCTTCTGATCTTTTTCAAAATATTCTTCTCGGATTTTTCATTTGTTTCGTTGGAATTTTTTTTTCCTCATAGTGGTCATATTTGATAAAATATATTTTTTTTAGGTTATTGATCGATTGAAGTGTAAAAAAACCAGCTCTTTTGGTTTGGATTCTAATTAATGGCTTAATATTCAAATGTAGGAAAGCTTAATGTGTATTATTTTGAGATTTCGAAAATTTATGCTCAAAAACATCATCAACTTTCCATAAATTTTGCCATTGCCGCTAAACATCAAAAGTCAAAACAAAACTTAAGCAAAAATGTTAAAGCATGTTTCTCTATCTACGTTCGGAGTGATGGTATCGCATCACAGTCATCATCGTTAATAATCAACAATGATATTTATATGAGACATACACAAATATGGTTAAACAATTTGCTTACGATATCGAAGGCGATTAATCCTTTAATTAAAACGTTGTTTTTTAAATTAATGGCGATCCATCAATTTTGACTATTTCACGCTTAACAACACAAAAAAAATGATATCATTTTATTAAATTCTCGCCCGTGTTTAGAAAAAATAAAGAAAAAGAGAGAAACAACCGATTCGATTACATAAGTAATTTATAAAGTTTGAAAATGACTTGAACTGATGAATAATTCATGAAATCTAGATATCGTATACGCGACAACCAGAGCCATTTGAAATAAATGGTCAAATTGAGCGTGAACGAGTTTTTAATCGTATGCATTGTAAATGAGAGCATATGGTACATGGTTGATTGTGTCGCATGTCAAATCGGTTACATTTTTAACGTGCTGAAATTACAGTTTTCATGACTCTGATAAATATTGAACGGTTTTTCCAAAATGGCTCTAATTATAATAGAGAGGAAGGTGTTAAGAAATTCAAAATATTTAAATTGCCTGTAAATTCGATACAATTCACTCCCTCCTCACCGGCGTTTGTTTTGCAATTTGTTAATCGACTGAATTTGTTGCCATACTCCATGTTCTTTGCTGCTATCGTCATTGTTGTTGACAAATATGAGTAAAATACTGGCGTTCCATTCAATTTGATTTAATGTTTCCGCACAACGGCGCTTTTGAGTTGTTGCCACAAGCAACAAATCATTAAAATTGTCGAGCGAAAAATCCAAATCGTTGTAAATATTGCTATATATGTATTTCAAATATACACAATTGCTATAACGATAGAATAGAGAGAGAGAGAAAAAAAAGAATGGTTTTGCATAAAATGCTGATTCGAGCAGAATGGCGACAATATTTGGAACGTGCTTTTTTTCTTTCTAAAAAAAATCAAAGAAACATGAAATAAGCGAAACGGTCACAAACTCTCGTTGGATTGTTGCACATATACCCACAGTACATACTCGAATAAATGACACAACACTTAATACACAACAAATAACAATGGATATAAATGGCACCGACGGCCAAAGAAAATGTTGGTTCGTGTTGGCGCGGATTAACTGTGCCATTATGTGTTGATAAAAAAAAAAGCAAATTTTGTTTAAGGATAATATGAACGATTTTACGACAAAAGCCGACACGTGACCATAAACGATAGTTTGTTTGTTTGTTTGTTCACTCCATGTGCTTTAGGTGTTGTCGAATATGGTGCTAGCTCACGCATAAAATCATTACCAGCAACATTAAAACGGTAGATTTATACAAAAAAAATCTCTCATCAGCTTGGTGTCGACCATAAAAACAGCAGCGACAGCAACACACACAGAGGGAGCAAGAGAGACAGATAGATTGACACGCAGAGAGTGAGAGAACGTCGTCGGGTATATCAATTATGTATGTAATACAGTTTCTTTTCATCGAACAAATTTAACTAATTTGTATCGAAGTGAAGTGGTGAATGAGGGTGGCTACCATTTTTCCCGATACACACAATTGTATATGCGTATAACGAGCCGTGAATCGTGCTTTAAATACGGCGCTTATGTGATTTGTGTTGTTAGCAAACAGCTGGCACTGAAAATAGAGTTAAAAAAAGATAGAGTCAAATTGCTAAAATGACACGATATTCACGTGTATATGCATACAATGGCTTCAACAATGATGACGGCGACACAAGTCAAAGGGTGAAAATAGTTTTAACGGGTGTATTTATGTATAAATAAAATGATCGGTTATTGGGCCATTTTTGTCACACTAATGATGTATTAATTGAAGCTTGTTGCCGTTGCCGTTACTGTTATTGCTGTGATTTTGGCACATGCTGAACCGAATCAATTATGCAACCAATTCGATTTATTTCGTCCACGCTTGAGTGGGATTTTATGTAGACTTGTTATGCTCTGCACAAATACGAGTTAATAAGACGTGACATTTTTACTATGAAACTGTCAATTGTTTTTAATTATTCCGCTCAATTAGAACGATGCTCGTTTGACTTGATTCGCGGTTACTCATTTGCTCCATCGCTAACGATTTAGACATTGATCGTATTTCATTAATAAGAAATTTCCGGGTCAAATGTCATTTTCTCAAGAATATTCCATATATTTATAATTGGGACAAATTCAATTCAATGCAAGTGAATCAGATTTTTTTATTCTTGCCAAATAAAATCAACGCAAACACATATGGAAAATCTCGATTTGTGTTCAATTGAATGCACATTCAACAGAAATCGCGGGTGTGTATGCACAGGGGGAGAGTGAATCAATGAGCAATTTTGGGCTTGTGAACGACGCACGTGGGACACAGTTGCGTTACACTTTGATGCTCATTAATTTGAGCGGCAAGCGACCCGATCATGTTGTGTGTACCATGTAAATATTGATGTTGTTAACATTAGGTTAACCAACAACTGAACAAGAAGATCAAATAACAGAATATCCAGTTGCTTATTTTCATTTGCGCGTTGCTTCGGTAGCAATTGACACAGGCACAAGAGAAGAGCCGCTGACTTGTCTTTGGGTGTTTTGTTTCAATTCATATGATGGCATATACACACAACAACGCCGCCGCCGACATCAACCGCAACATATTGTTTTTTTATGATGCTGTCTGTTTGCCGCAAACGACTTTACATACCAAAATGAAAACATATCAAAAATATTTTTATTATATAATATCCATAGCATGGAATGAAGACAGAAAAAAGATACACACACACACACTAGAGGAAGAATAATAATCAGAAAAAGAAATAAACATGCATTCTTTTTGTACGGTTATTAGTTTCTGTGTGAATAACATCATTAGTAATCGTCTAAAAATAGAGATTTTTTAGACTGTCTTTGCCTGATATAGAGTTTTTTTTCTCTAAAAATCTCACAGTCAAAAGAAGATATGAAGACACATTCCGATATGGTTAAAGTGTTTCGGTACTGAGATTTTTAGGCATTTATTTGCAGCGCAATTTGTTTCAATGCTTTCATTAATTTGCACTATGCTTCATTGCACTACATAATCTGCATGGGTCAATATTTACTTACAGTTTGGAAGCCTGTTCATTCACTTTAACCGATTTTCATGAAGGACAGCATTAGATTTGAAATAAACGGATCAACTTAAAACTCACTTGCACAAAGAGCGCAACGAAATAATAACAACTGAAGTAGAAGACGAAATGAAAAGAAAAACAATCACGGCATATTTTTTTTAGCCAGTTTCTAGTAAATTAAATTTTTGAACGTTGCCAAAGAAAATACCGATATAGAGCCTTATTCCATGGAATTATTCTGCTGCTGCTGAACGAAAAGTCAAATAAATATGTATGGTAAAAACAAAATTGAGAGTTTTTAAGTAATCCAAAGCTCTATTGAAATATATTATATTCGCCTATGCGCACCTTATTCACTTACCAGCCGATGTTTCGGTCATTGATTGTGTCGTGCAGAAGGAAAGATAAAGCAGAAGAAAAAAGTATCAAGCCTGATACCACAAGTTTTCGCCCAAACATGAAAAAATATTATTTTTTTATTAAAAAGAAAAGCACTCTTATTTTGATCTTATTAAAGCATTTGTTAATTCATGTCAGCAGACTTTATCTTGAAAACACTTCAATGCGACACAAACAAAAGACTGTTTGTACATGTTACAAACAATACCCACATAATTGACTATCATATGTATATAGTTTTTTTTTTTGGCAACTTTTGCCATCTCTTCCTATCTGTTCTAGTGTCGTTCGCTCTCTCTTTCTTTCTCTTTTGCCAGCATTTCGGCTTTCAACAAAAGTAGCAGAATGTTACAGGCTATTCTCTTTATTTTTCGTATGTGTTGGAAGACCGGTGCATTTAAAAAGACAGTGTCGCTCACAATAAGTGAAGACATTACAACCAAATCGGTTCTCTTTCTGGTTCGCTTCTATTTCTTTTTGTTCTTTCAACAAATCATTTATTATTAGTAGATTGTTCTTTCTTTGGTTAGTTGATTGGTTCGCTTTTTTGCGAGAGAGAGAGAGAGAGAGAGAGAGAGAGAGAGAGAGAGAGAGAGAG